TTTCCCTTTTTATAAAAGCCGAATCAAATCCTAGCCTCCAAGGGAACAAAGGCCAGGGCATGTAAGAAAGCACTTCTTGAAGGAATTCTTAGCCTGGAATTCTGATGGTGGTTGGTTTGGTGATCAGTGATCTTTCTTGAGTACAGCTCAAAGGAGCTGTTCTACCCTCTCCATCTCCACAGAGATCCCGAGTGGATCCTATTTTCTGCTTGCTAACTCAAAGAAAACTCTTTCATTTTTAAATGGAAAAAAAAAATCCTTATTTGGAGGTGGTTAAGTGGCAGCATATTGGTCCAGGAATAACTGGGAGTCTGCTCAATTTTCCACGAGAGGGGGGAAAAAAAGGAAGGTAGGACAGGGGAAAGAGGAGGTTGAGATGTTCCGGACCGGAGACCCCCAGGCTTCGGAGTTCACCGCGCAGTGAACCCACCCAGCCGGCTCTGCAGCCCGCACTCCCCGCCCCGCGCCCTATTGTCCGCAGTCAGAGCTCGGGGTCGTGACCCAGGCGAAGGCGACATCGCGCCCAGGGCGGACACAGCCTGGAACCCAGAGCAGGAGCCGGGCGGCTGCCCATAGTGCCTCGCCGGTCCCAAGCTAGTCCTATTTCCTCATTTCTCCATCCTGAGACCCCCGCAGACCCCGAAGAAGAGGAGATGCCCCTCTCCTGCCATCGCCGGGTGAAAACAGTCGTTTTGGGCCAGGTTCTTTCGCTCTGGGCATCCCAGGGAGCCAGATGCTGGGAGCGAAGACCCAGGCTTTGCTCTGGCTGTTTTGCAGCGCTCCCACACACTCTGTTTCAGGGTCTCTGCACCCCCATCAACACCACCAACATATTGGAACACACTCTCCTCTTCCAGTCTGTGATCTCTGGGTCTGGGAAGACAGGGCTTCGGAAAGAAGTGGGCAGAGTTGACACTGCCTTTGGCTTGACCCCTACCCTTGGGGCAGAAGGAACAGAACCCGGAGCATGCTACAAATTAGAGGATCTGGAAATTGTCGAGGGGGGACTGGACGTTTAAAATGAACCCTCCCCTTTATTGGACTCTAACTCCCCTCACCTTCCCAGGTCCTTTTTGTCCCCTTCCTCTGGAATTATTCCCTGGGCCTGTCAGGAAGAGAGCTGGGGAGCTGCATGCCTGGATGTGTATTTCCCTGGAGCTCCCTGTGTGGCAAGCAGCTACAGAGCTGACACCAAAGAGGAGAAAACCTGGGAGGTGGAGGGACAACCAGGTCTGACAAGGGCTCCAAGTCTTAGGGAGTCTAGGAGCAAACCTCTTCCACATCCACTTTGGTTTCTATTTGTCTCCCAAGTCCAAAAGGGACTGTCATCCCCCATCCCCCAGAGGGGTGGGTTTTAAGTTGTCCAAGGGTCCCTGGCTGCAGGTCCCTGGTTCAGACAGCACATCCCATCATTTTTAATTCCCACGAGGCAGCTAAAACTCCGACACAGGAGAAAGATTAAGATAGGGTTAGAGATGCTGGTGGTGGAAGAAGCAGGTGAAGATGGGTGGTCAGTTCTCTGAGGAAGATTGGTCAGAAGCAACTACATTTTTTTCCCCACCAAATTCCCCCAAATGTTTATTTTGGGCTCCTGCCCATCCAGATAAATCAAACCAACAGATTAGGGAGTTCATAAAATTGTATTCTTAGGTAATGACATCCAGAGAGGTAATAAATATTCCCTCTGCTTTGGTGGCCCCTGGAGTTAGAGGATCTTCCATCTCTTTTACCAAGTCTAGAAGAGGCCTCTAGGAAATGGAGCATTTTAATTCGAATTAGCTCTCCAAAGGTAGGGTGCCAGATAAAAGCTGTGGAAAGCCTGGAGAAGTGGCTTTGTGAATTCAACACCATGCTACCCCAGGACCTGGCAAAAAGCCGAGAAGAGGTTGGAAGTGCCTGCATACCACTCCCCCTTGTCCTGGTGCTCTCTCTGCTCCAAGTCTCCTCAGAATATTAGGAAATCAGAGAAACCCTTCTTATGGAAGGACACCCTAGCCCATACTTCTACAAATACACACACACACACACACACACACACACACACACGCACACCACTAGGTTGGGTGGGGGGAGTCACTCTTTGGATTTCAATATGCAAGTTTACACAAGAAGAAAATTGACATACAGAAAACATTGTAGACAACTTCATACAAACATAGCAAGAGGCCCGCAGAGAAACAAGTACCCCAGGCCTACCCAGCCCTAATCTCACTTTCCAGGTAATCTCTCATTTCTGAGCCAAGTTTCCTCACTCCCCAGGTACTTGGGCTCAACACCAAATCTCCATTTCCCCCCAGCAGATTCTCTCCATCCACAGTTTGATTTCCTGCCTTCCCTCTCAGACAATTGGAATTGAGACAAAAATCTACTGGCAGACGGAGTTTAAACTTTCATGTTCTTCACCCCAGAGTAAGATTGAGTGCTAGTTACTTACACAGCAAGGGGATTTGGGGCCTGGGGGGGTTCTCCCGGTGCCTGGAAAGAAGGACTTAGGAAAGCTGGTGTCGCCATTTCACCCGTCTTCATTTCACTTGGCCATTGAAGACAGATACAATGCTATGCTAGCAGGCATTCATGCGCCTTCCTCTCCCATGACTCTGGGCAAGAAATCCTCGGGCCTACAAAAGCGGTGGCATTCTATCTGGAGACCAGGGGCTGAGGGCGGACTGGCTTGGGAGGGTCGGAGATGGGGGTGGGGGAGAGGTCAGAGGCTCTGCTGAATATAAAGGCAACTGGAAAGAAAATGCTGTGTCCTCCCTGTGAACCTGGCCTGTGTCCTCCCCCAACCTTTCCCCAGTGCTCAACTCAACTTCAATAAAAGCCCTGCCCTGGCTTCCCAGTGAGGCTAGGCAGCTTTGGGAGATGCACCCAGACCAGGACTGCTGCAGTTGGGACCCAGACCCAGGTTAGCCCCTCCCCCATGTTCCTGCTCCACCCCTGCCCAGCCAGCCTGAGGGCTTTCTGGGTGGTTAGGGCCAAAGCAAAAGAAGAGCTTTTGGAGAAAGGACAAGAGGGAGATTCCTAGAGCTCAGAGGCCCAACTCTTCAAAAATCTAAGAATAAGAGATTTTAATTTGACTACATTTGTTTTAAAATGTGTAGATTTGGGATTTACCCCCCTTCAGATCAAGGACAGGAAGAGATACACAGAAAATGACTATGTGTGTCACCAGCAGGAAGAAAAGAGAAGCCTGCAAAAATAGGGGAATAAATGACCCAGATCCTTTAAGTTGCTTTACCTGACTTAGTGCCCTGTCAGTAAGTTCAGGGGGAAACTTAAAAATAAAGTGAAGCAATTGCCTACCCCATCCCTTCAAACCAAGTCAAGCAAGAACTATGGAATGGAAGGCACCCTCACGGCCTTTCCATCTCACCTTTCCAGGCATAAAAAGATGCCCAGGCCCTTCCCTTAGACCCTGTCTCTCTTTCCAAACACAGCCCCCCCCTTCCAGCCCAAAGGCAATTGTCTCAAAATGATAGGGGCAAAATCAAGCCCCTAATTCACTTGATTACATAAAATAACTCCAGATAATTGTTGGCTCTGCCTCCTCACACTGAAGACAGTATGTTTTGCTGTCTCCAGGGTACTATTGAGGGAGGAGAAAGTAGACCTAAAGGACTAAGCAATTCTCCCCAACACATAGTCCCACTCCTAAGCACACACACAGACTCTGCTCCAAAGGCCAGTGAGCAAGTGGTCCAAAAGAAAATAAATTTACAACACATCAAATAGATTTCACAACTCGGTGTCTCCGCTACCTGCTGTTGCTTTTAACTCCCGAAATTCAGAATAGAGGAAAGAGGTACCCATAAACACTCCAGGTTGCTTCTCCTATACCTGACTGCCCCCTTCACCCTGAAATATAGATAAATTGCCTGGGGCAAAACTCCCAACTCCCTTGTTTGCCCCCAAACTCCCACTTACCTTCCCTCAACAAACAAGCAAAAAATTGAGTAGGCCTAGGTTTGGGGCCTGATCTCCAGGTCCAGATTCACCTGGGGTCCTTTGGATTGGACTAAGTCTTCAAGTAATTTTTGTGGTCTCTCCCACTCCTCCACCCCAAGAAAATTCGGGTCCATCTATACATCTATCTATCTATCTATATCTATCTATCTATCTATCATCTATCTCTATCATCTATATCTATCTATCATCTATCTATCTATTTATCTATCTATCTATCTAATCTATCTATCTATCTAATCTATCTATCATCTATCATCTATCTATCTATCCATCCACCCACCTACCATAGAGCCCGGTTCCATATGTCCTTAATCTCTATCAGGACCTGGGGGGTGGGTTGTAGGAAGAGGAGGTGGTCCTTGCCTCTCAGAGTTTCTTCTTAACAGACAGCAGATCTAAAAGTTCCAGGAAAACATAAAAGTCCTTGGTTATCTCCAGGCATCAGCCTTTGAGGCCTACCCTTGCAAGGGGGCCTCCTAGGCCCCTGGCCTCCACTTCACCTTTCTTCCCCAAGTCTAAACAGAGATGCATGCCATCCTGACAGGTCATATTGAGCTTCAGAATCATCAGCTCTAAAGTCTTTATCTCTTCAAGAGAATGTAAATGAGAAGGAGACATCTTCCTCCATGGCTTATCCCAAGGAACCCAGAGGAGAAAAACTTTTCCCTTCTCTTTCCCTAAACTTACTCTCTAGTCTACAGATTTGGCAAGCTTACAGGACAGAGAAGGTTGGGATGAGAAAGAAATATACAAAAAGAAGGGGCTGAGTCTATGGAAAAGTGAGAACCCTCCTCCTGGTTTCCCAGGTCTGGTTTCCCTACAGAGTCAGAGAGAAGGGACAGGAGAAATCAGCCACAATCTGCAACATCCCTTATTCCAGACTCCTTATTGGTTCTTCAGTAGACACTGGACAACTGAAGTTGAGAGTTAAGGTTTGTGTGTTTGCTTAGAGTAAACTCAGGGAACTCTAGAGATGGTGGGATGTCACCAGGCCAGGAGTAGGGGGATTAAAAAGAAACCATCAGACATTGACGTAAAACTAATTCACATCCACTGGTTTATTATTGATCACGGGGCATTTCACATCAACACTAAAATTCTTTATTGCAAGTTTTACAATAATCAAGTAAATTCAGTCCAAAAACACAATGACCACCATGGGGGTAGGGGGGACTCTACCTACAGATGGCCTCTCTGAACTGAAAGTTCATCTTGATTTTCTTTTGCCTCCTCAAACTGAACAGCTCTGAGAGGCTCTCCATATGCATTTAGCTTTGTCTGCTGTCCTCCCCTCTCCTCCTACCCCCCCACAATAATACAAAAGAACTTCATAGCTTTGTTCTCCTTAAAACGACTTCCCCCACACTAACCTCCCCTGCTGCATTTTCAATGCAAAATGCCTAAGGAAAGTGTGTGTGGGGGGGTGAATCTGCTTAAAATTTTTCCTTTTTCTTTTCCTCATTTCCCCTGAAATTCACTGAAACCAGACCATCGTACCTTGTAATATATACTTTTTGCAGCTTTTTTTCTTAAAAAATAAATACCCCCCAATGACCTTTAAAATAATAATAATTAAAAAAAAAAAAACCCAGCAGGTACCATGCTAAGACAACACCACATGCTTAAAAGGGTCCTTAACAGTGAAGGGAGAAGGGCCAGGGGCTTGTTTATCTGTTTTGTCTGTTTGGAATTGACAAGGGAGGAAACAGGAAGAAGAGAGAAAAAGAACCAAAAAATATATATATATTAAATTCTATAAATAAGAGTCAGTTTGTGTGTGAGGGCGCTTGGGGCACGGGGTGGGGGCAGGGGTGTGAGTTATGTTTTATAACCTGGTGATGTCCTCTGCCCGTTGCTGCTCCGGCGGCGTGGCGCTCTGGGAGTGGTCCTCAGAAGGGCCAGGGGTGGCTGCCGAGAGGGTGCTGGGCGCAGCGCCGGCCGGGGGCGCTGACCTCACTTTTGTGTTGGGGAGTCGGTGGTCCTTCTTCCATTTCATGCGACGGTTTTGGAACCAGATTTTGATCTGCCTCTCAGAGAGGCACAGCGAGTGGGCGATCTCGATCCTTCTCCTTCGGGTCAGGTAGCGGTTGTAATGAAACTCTTTCTCTAATTCCAGGACTTGCTGCCGGGTGTAGGCTGTCCTCGAGCGCTTGGGCTCCCCTCCGTTATAATTGGGGTTCACTGGGGGGTGGGGAGGGGAAAGCAAATAGTGGGGTTCAGAGGCAGCAGGCTCCCCACCCCCACCCTCACCCCATCCTCAGCTTTGAGGAAAAGGAGGAGGGAGTGGTGGAAATAAAGTCATCAAGCTAAATGGGTTATAAAGAAGTTGAAGGAAGCTGGAGACTTTGTAGTGTAATAAGAGGGGAATCCTCGTTGTACCGACACTGAATTATTTATGCGCCCTTAGAAAGCGAGCATAGTTTTCACACATACATAACAGATCGTAGCACATGGCTCGGACTGCCCAGAGTAGCTAAGCCATAAAATTTATGGGGGATGTAATTACCCATTCTCGCTCGTAAATCCAGTTCAATTGTGCTAACCCAGAGTCGCTCCTGGAGAGAGAGGGGGAAGGAGAGAAAGGAGGACGGGGCCGGAGGGGGCCGGAGAGGGTGGGGAGCGCCGGGGAAGAGAGAAGGGAGGGGGGAGCAAAAAGCAAAGTTGCCTACCCGTGCTAACGTGAATTTTTTTCATCCAAGGATAGACTATGGGCTGCTTGCTGGCGGCGCTGGAGGGATGGTCGGGGGCTGGCTGGCTGCAGGCTGGCGGGGCTGGGGACGGGGAGGCGGAGGCGCCTGAGAGAGGCGCCGGCTCGCAGAGCGCTTGCGATTTCTCGGGGTGGTGGTGGCCCGCCTGGGCCGGCCCGTGGCCTCTCGAACTGCCCGGCCCCTGGAGACTGGTGCAGCTATACTGGCGCTCAGGGTAGCTAGGGCGCGGAGGCGGTGGTGGGTATAATTCCTGGTGGTGATGCTGGAATCCCGATTCCCTGGTCCGGCCGTAATATTCCGGACTGTGCTCAGGGATGTAGCTATTTTGCGAATATTCTTCGCATGGAGGAAATTTCGGATCGATGTAGTTAGAGTCCATCAAATACGAGCTCATGATCATTAATTTCTGGAGTGGAAAATAATTTTTCTCGCTTTGTCGTTTTTCTGCTCCATAAAGCCCTCCTACTAGCTAGCGACCCTGTAAAGTTACTTTCACCATGTGACTCCGCCGGCCAATCACACGGAGCAACCCAGTCCCCGGATAAGGAACCGAATCGCTTTATTCAAAATGTATCCAATTTTTTGTGTGTGTGGTGCTGCTGCTGGGGGTGGGGTGGGGGGATAGCTGGCAGAAGCTGGGGTGCTCACCAGTGCACACCCTGCCAGACTGACAGCCCTCCCCCTGCAAAAGATGGGAGGCTCCCCGCTCCGCTCCACATCCTGGGTACTGGGGGCTGTCGGGAGGCTGAGCCCTTGCCCAAGGTCTCCTGTCCGGCCTCCAGTGGGTCTCGTGGGCCTCAGCTCCAGTGCTTTTCCAGTGGGTTCCATTCGTGGCAATAGTATTGTTCAGTCTGTGTAGGTCACAGGGCAGCTCCCCTCTTTCGCAGGAAGAGGAAGTTCAATGAGGACTGAAGTGGAGGTTGGATGGGGAGGGGCCCAGGCTGAGCCTAGGAGGCTGGAGAGCCTGAGGTGCCCCCCATCCAAGGATCCCAAAGTCCAGCCCCCCCCCACACACACTCACCCAACCCTGTGGCCAAGGGGCTGGAGAGACCGGGTCCCAGCAGGACTAGGCAGGTAGAGGCAGCGGGATGCAAATGATTCTGACGTCATTTCTGGAGGTCTAGGGGTTGAACCCCCGCTGAAGAGAGACAGGAAGTGGTTGGCAAAAGCAGAGTTCAGAAACCTAGCCCTCCCCTGCTACCCACTGACCTTCCCTGCTGGTCCCAGAGCAGAGGACCTCTCCTGCTAGCCCTTGTGTCCAGCCCTGCTCCCTGGCCTACTGGCTTCTCACAGCACCCTCCAGACTGGTTCCAGAGCAGCTCTCTGAAAAAGGGAGCTCTCTGCCAGGAGTGGGTGCCTGTGAAGGGGCCCAGCGAAGGCCCCGGATTTCTCCATGCCCGACTTAAAGGCAGGCCTGTGTGGGTAGCGCCTGCTTGCAACCAGCCAGGGACCTGTATCCCTGTAACACGTGTGTTTACATGTAAACACGTATTCCCAGGGGCCAGCTCCAGGCTGTCTTCCAAAAAGGAGAGGTGAGGTCACTGAGCTGGGGGGGCAGGGCAGGGGTCTCCAGCCCATTCTCACTGTGCCCCTCCCTCTGTCACCCACCCACAGGATACCCTGATGGGGGGTGGCAGGGCCAGATAGGAGAGAGGGGGCAAAGAAGGGCTGCTTTTCCAGGGCCCCCTCCCTCAGCAAGGGGTGGTCACGTAATGCCGCTGACTCCAATTAACATCTTTTATAACTCAGAGTTGGGGGGGTGCAGCAGAGGGGAAAGCCCAGGGAGGGAGCCGGGTCCCCATGTTGTACTTGATAACAATTATAGTTTAAAATCATAGCTTGCCGGGGCTCAGCTATATTTTACTTGATAACAATAAAAGTGACACATAAAGTTAACTGTTTATGTTTTATTTATTAGACTAAATCTGCCAGCGGTGGTAGGAGCGCTTGCCTCTCGCTACAGCTTTTATAGGGCTGTAAAACGTCATAAATCAGTCTCGCGGAATCGCCCGCACTCTTTGTGTCGGCGGCGGCGCAGGGCTGGCGGCCGCTGACTGCCTGCTCCCTCCTTTCCCCGAAAAGTCATAATGTGATTTTTTTCCCTCTGATTTTATTATTATGATCGCCGCCGTGATTAGTCAATCTACCTTTAATTCGCCGCCCTATGCTGCCTCCTCCCAGCCCAGCCTGGTTGACACTTGAATAAGTACCTTTTAAAACGGCATAACAACTATTTGAGGGTTTAATTAGAACATCTGCAATTAAGGGAAAGAAGAAAAAAAATAATAAAGGCCTATGACAGAGACACTGAAAGTAGGAGATTCCCAGCAGCCTCTCGCCAATGGAATGTGAGAGGGTCTCCCATTTCCAATTTAGGGCTCACTCTGAGGGCTGGAGTGGGAGGAAGGCTCGGCCACAGGAGATGGCCAAAGGGACCCATTGGGCCTGGGCCCAGGCTTCTGGCTGCTTTCCCTGCTCCAATGCTTAGGGGTCCAGCCCCAGCTCCAGCATAGACTCACCAGAGCTAGAGCTCAGCCCTGCAGTACTTGAGAGTCCTTGGATACTTGCTCCCCAAGAGACAGCCCCTGCCTCCTCTTATCAGCAGGGTAAGGGAACAGGAGATCCCTGGAGGTCAACTATCTCTTATAGAAGATGCTTAAACTCCAAAGCTTTTGGAGAATGCTTATTCACTTGGACCTGAACCCTCTGAGTATGAGGACAGGGTATGTGGTTGGAAGAGGACCTTGAGGTGGTGAGGGGGAAACAGCTGCTTGGTGGTGGTGGAAATTGTGTGAAGATTTTCAATTTCTTTTATTCCGTTTCTTTCTTTGTAATTATTGCTGGTGTGTGTGTGTGTGTGTGTGTGTGTGTGTGTGTGTATACTACAAGTTGCTGCAGGTGGGTAAAGGGAAGTCAGTACTGAATCCTGAACTACAGAAGTCTGAGCTATAGCCCCACACTGCCCCATGGGGCAGCAAAGCCTCAGAGAGCAGTGGTAGGAAGGGCAGGTGCGAAGGGTATCTTTCAGAGCTCTTGCCCAGTCCAACCTCCTTTCTAGACCTACACTTGGTTGTGCTGCTCCACCCTGCCCTGCCTGCCAAAGGAATCTACCTGGCCCTCCTCCTCCCAGCCCACTCCTGTCATCTTCTGCCAGCTCCTCCCCCCACCTTGGCTCTCTTTTCTTTAGTTGTCACCCTCTTGAACTTATTAAGGCACCCTTTGCCTACCACTGTAAGCCCCCAAACCTCCTAGATTTCTTACTTCCTGCAGGGAAGAGCAGGAGACCCTCTTTGGGCCATCCTAAAGAGACACAGATGGTTCAGATGCCAACTTTGCCTTTGGTAATTATGGTTAACAAATATGTATCCATACATGCTATTAATATTTACTAAAATATTCAATGTCTTTTATGCAGACATCAGTAAGTGTAGCTCCCATTCTGGGTTTGCATAGCTAATTCGGCATGAATATCTAGAAAGTAAAATCTGTAAGATGCCCCCCAAATGTGCCCACACTCATTTACATCACTTATAAAAATAATAAGCCAAACAACAACAAAAAAACCCTCTCTTTGGGCATCTGCAGCTTTATCGAAAAAGAAGTCGCCTAACACATGGGCAAAATACCTCAGCATACAAACACATACACACATGTTTACCTGGATATTATTACAAACTAGTAAATAAAATCCTTTTGGAGGATGCACTTAGCAATAGATTGGTGTGGGAGGGGGTACCACAGAGGTTCTCCTCAGTAATGAATCTTTGTTATCTGGTCTTGTCTTCTTTTGTGTTTTCCATCCTGCCTCCTGCCTTGCCAGCCCAAAGGCCTCCATTTTCACCTCCACTTCGCTTGGTCCCAGTTTTATTTTTTATGTTTTCTGACTACCTTTCACCAGCATCCAAACACTCTCTGCATGCTGCCCCACACCCCATCTCCTTTCTAAATCTCGATCTGGTTTCTCTTTTGGAAACATGTTTCAGTACAAAGCGCTTCCCTTCTGACACCACTGAAGAAAAATATGTGTCCATTGTTGTGTGAGGCCTTATTGTGCCTGGATTACCATACTGACCGTTGGCTAACCCATATTCCTCCCCTCCCCAGTAACAAGCTGCCGGCTGAGAGACCCCAGTGGCTCCACAGATTCTGTGCTATGTTAAAATCCTACCTCACACTTCCTGGATTTTCTGAGGGGAAAAAATTAAATGGAAGAATCAATTCAGGACTTGGAGTGGAAAAGGAAGGGAAATGAGGGCCACTCTTTCCCACTCTCTAAAGTGCAGGGTTTTAAGAATGTATGTGCTTTGCTATTGTTGTTTTAGGGATTAAAAATTAAGGCATGTCTCTTTCCTTTTCCTCAAATAAATTGACTTTTAGATGGTATGCAATCAGGCAATGCATTTCATTTTGATTTTTTTTCCTCCCTCTAGGCAACTTGAAAACCCCAAACTAAAACAAGATTCTGATACCATTTTTTCTTTTGTGTTTGTGTGCGTGTGTGTATGTGTGTACAGATATATGTGTGTTTTTGTCCTTTTCTAATGCCAACAGGCAGGACTAATGTATGCAAAAGAATATGCAAATGCTTAATTGATTTTTTTCTTAAATCTCTTGTCAGTAAAAGTAATGAATTGGTCTAAAATGATTTTAATAACCTGGACGTGTCACTAGAAAATACTCAGCCTTTTTTTTTTTTTCCTCCTGGAATCATTTATAGTCTGAAAAAAAAGCAATCATGGAATGTTAATTTGCCCCCCTTTAAAATATTAAAAATGAATTTCCCCTGTTTGTTCAGAGACTACAGGCAAGGTTCTCCCCTGGATCTCCCCCACCTTGCCTTCCTTGGAATTCAATTTTCCTCAAATCTCGTTTAAAGTGGCTTTTTAAAAAGTGGCCGCATTTTAATATTGGTTAGACAGAGTGACCTGCATTTCACCTCGGGTGTTTGACTTGTCCCAATAGGTCACTGCCATGGGGTTATTGATGGGGAAACTCCATTGAAATTTGTCTCTTCGCAAATGGCCTTTAGATCTTCCAGCGAGTTCAATAACTAGTTATAATGTGGAAGGGGAAAAATGAAGGCCCTGGGCTAATGAATTTGATGTTTCATTTTTATGCTGGAGAAATTGTTAGTTAGAGGTTGGGTTCCCTCACCCTCTGCTCACCCCAGCTTCAGTGACCCCTACTCTCATCCAAAGCTGCAGGGCTATACTCCCATTAAGACTTGTGTTGGGGTGTCCTTACTCTCTTTGGTTGCAAACCTTACTTCTTATGAATATTGCAAATTCTGACATATGGATGCAGGAAGCTTGTTTTGCTGGAGTTTTGAAACCTGAACTTTTTTGTTAAAAGAACTTTCAAAGGAGCCTAATATGGCTTTAAAAGATCTAAAATTTTGGTTGACCTTAGTTTGTAGAGGCCTCCTTTGGTCCCACAATTGAGGAAACTGGAAACTCTTTTGGGAGTTGATAAGGGTGTTTCAAGGTGCTCCAATTTGTTCTTGGCCTCTGAGCTGCCAGTGATCCATGGGATTAGGCACCAGGACCAGGGAAAGCAAGATTGGGAAAGGTGAAGGATAGAGGAATCATTTCAGGAACAAGCAAGGGAATCCTGGATTCCCTCTAGGGTCACAGTCTGGATACATGGAGACTTAGTTGAGTTATTATTTGCAGAAATCGGTTCCATCACAAGAAGGGTACTCCTCCAAGAAAACTCAAAGACCAAAGATACCCAGTCAGTGAACTGGAGAGAGCGGGCAAGGTGAAGGGATGAAGATTTTGTAAGGTTTCCCTTTTTCTAGAATGCTCTAGGATGGGAGAGGAAAGGTCACCGAAGGAGAGGGAAGGTCTTCATTTTATTCTCTCCTTCCACAGCTAGGGTGGAAAGCCTCTGTGAGGAGGGACTGCAGAACACAATTCCCTGGTCCCTGACCCAACCACGGCACACCATCACCGTTATTAACCTCGGTTAACCACGCGGGCATCTTCCTCCCACAGAACAGAACTCCTTGGGCGCTGCCGCCGTATTTTCTCTTCCCAGAACCTTTCTTTCTCCTTCCCTGTTCAAAGGGGCCCAGTTTGCTCAGCCCGAAGTTCTTCCTTTATAAGTCCGGTGACCTCACACCCCGTCTAAGCCTCA